TTGAATAAAACCTGAAATACCCATAGATCCCTGGTGAAGTCTCACCATAGATGAACAAACTGGGATAAATGAGCCCCCACAGGACTGGAGACCATAGGGTAGTCACTGGTACTGTTGGTGGCATGACACTCGGCATTGAATATAACGATGAGAATAAGTTCCCCTAGTGGAAGGAACAGGTAAGGGATGGGAGGGATTAGGATGGGGAACAGAAATAAGGATGGTCGAGGCTCTATGCGAGACAAATTATCAACCAATGAGGAAAAAGTCGACTGCTGTCTCATAGATTCCAAAGTTGCTAAAAGATCTCCAAACACTGACTGATGGAGAAAAGGGGCCAAGCAGAAGTCCCTAAGATAAGGAGATTATAAACGAATGTGGGACAAAACTGCATCTCTCCCCAGAAGATCCCAACAACAGAGGAACCATGTGTGTAAAGAAAGAACCAAAGTTTATAAATGTGCCAGAAAGGATGTAATCGGGATCTTAGTGGATCACTTTGGAGAGGTGTAGGGTGGATAAGTACCATAAGATAGACGTGACGATAAGACCAAAGCAAGAAAATTGGACATGGGACAAAAAACATGAGAACTAGGGTCTGCCCCCAAATGGGTAAAATTGATTCCAGTTGCTGAAAATCAAAAATGGATAATCGGCCTGATGGTAGCATAAAGCAAATTGATCTGAAGCTCGCAGAGGGTGAGGCATGCCTGCGCCATCACCTGACTGAGATATAAAATGCTCAACATGAACTCAAATATCAGGAGATGGTGGAAACACAAAATACTGAGAGGAAGGAGTATCTTGTAACAAGAAAGGTAGAGGATTAAAGGAAATCGAGGAAAGGGATAAATCAAAACATACCTGGGAAATCATGTCATAAAAAGCCGTATTAGGCCTAACAGGCTGTAAAATGCTTTGTCATACTGAACAGGTTTGACTTGTTCAAGAGAAAATTGAGCAACATCAGGAGAAGGTTGGTTTAAATAACTATCAATCTACTGTTACGCCTCCAGTCGTTAGTTGATTTTCCGTAACTTCGTTCCCACGAAACTTTAGCGACACAAGTCCTTTCTTAATAAAACTGGTTTATTCTTTCTGAATATAACTTTACCGATACACTTATTTTCAACAGTCGCTCTATAACAAACGCTATAACAACGAACGTTAACTTCAACAATACTTTCTGGCTGCAGTTCAATTACTCACTAACTACACACATTGTCCCGTCACGTTGTGAGCGTCCTATATATATACAAGACTAACATATATCTAGTAAATGCTAGGGCATTCACGAAGGAACAGGATATTTCTAGAAAATAGGTGGCACGTGATCTCGCTGACGCAACACTGCCCCCTCCTTAGTATTGTTCGTCCCGAACAATAGCCACTTACAATAAACCAATAACAATAACTTAATTAAATGTACAGAATTACAAACACAAAATTACAATTCAACAAAGTCTCTTCATTTTACGGGATGTATCTTCTTCCGTACTGGTCTCCATTTCGTTGGCTTATGCTTCATGTGGGGTTCATCTGCTTCATCAGTAAATGTCCTGGACCGTGATAACGCCAAAGCCTGTTGGCATGCACCACTTTTGGCTTACCTCGCCGACCACATTTTATTTGGAAAGTCACGTCTGAGAGACGATCCACTATGTCATATGGGCCTTCCCATGGAGAAGACAACTTAGGAGACTTTCCTTTCGTCTTCCTGTGATTATACAACCATACCTTGTCTCCTGGTTCAAAGCTGACTTCAGTAGATCTCTTATCATAAGTTAACTTCATCGAATCAGCAGACGTTTGCAAGTTGAACGCACTTGATGGTGAATATCACCCATCCTTTCCGATAACACTTTCACAAACTCTGACACATTCTCAGGCAACTCTTCATAAGGTGGGTGTCCCGTATGCTTGGGTCTCCTTTTAGCACTACATGTAATGCATGTCCTGCACCATTCTTCCACATCTCGCCTCATACCTATCCAGTAAAATCTTTGTCGTAGATGACTCAATGTCTTCCTAATTCCGAAATGTCCTCCTGTTAAACTATCATGGGATTGATGCAACACAACTTCCCGTAACTTCCTCGGTATAACTGTTTGCCAAGTCATCACTTTCCCATCTGCAGTTTCCCATCTTCGGACAAGAATAACATCTGCAAGCGTTAACTGGTCCCATTGCACCCAATAGTGCTTTGTCACAGGGCTTAGACTAGACATCTTCTCCCAAGCAGGGCACGAAACACTTGCTTTGAAAAAATCAATTATTGGCTTCAAATCTTGATCTTTCTCCTGCTCTGCTTTAATATCTACACCTAAGGTTGAACTAATTAGGTGCCATCAAGGTGAAGTCAAAGTGACTGAAGAAGTTGATGATGACGAAGTGGAACCGTAACTGTTAAAAGACCGGAACTTGGCCTTTGTTATTCCCAAACGTGTTTGTAATTGATTTTGATAAAATGTTTATTGGTAGTAGATAGTCCATTCCTAATATGTATTCGTCTTCCATGTCAGCCAAGTATACTTTCTGTCTGTCCTTTATGCCCATAAGCTCAATAGTCACCCACACTGGTCCCCACAATCTTGTACACCACAAAGCTTCTCTATGGCTTCTGGTACTCCTTCGTGATTTAACACCTCGATGCTCACAAGGGTTTGCTGAGACGCAGAGTCTATGACAAAGTTGCACCCTTGGCCATCCAGCTTTCCTGTCACATAGACACTGTGTGTGCTTGCATTTTACACCTAGCTTTTGGGACTTTCAAGATGGGGGTTGATGGGCGTCGCTCAACGCCAACCACTACTGGTCTCCATGAGGCCGACTTGTTGGTAATATTCCTCCTACACTGGCTCCTCAAATGTCCGTGCGTTCCACAGTTCCAACAACTTTTCTGGATACCAGCCTTTCTTGCTGTATCATCTCCCCTGTGCTGAAGTTTCCAGCATTGAGCTCTCTTGTGGCCAAGTTTGTTACA